GCCAGCAGGCACCCACAGCTGCACAGCCAGCAGGCACCCACAGCTGCTGGCTCTTTTCAGACAGAGCCCCTGCTGTAGAGAGCTGCGGGCCCAAAGAAGGCACCTTCCTTAGCAGACACTGTCTAGTCAATACACCTATGACGCCTGTTTCTAGGTAACTCAGGGCATCTCTGAAGGATCTCCCAGGGCACACCAGTGTAGACTCCATCTCCACCATTTACTACTCTGTGATTCTGAGCAAGTTATGTAACCTTTCTACATGGGTTATCCTCACCTAAAGAATGAAAAGCAACACGTACCCTCTTGTGGCTCAAGGGTTGTCTATGTCTGTCTGTCTGCGCTGTATGTGCATAAAATGGGAAGGTGAGGCCCATGCACATACAGCAGCCAGAGAAGGATGCTGAATGTCCTGCTCTATCGCCCTCTGCCCTACTCCTCCGTGATAAGGTCTCTTCCTGAACCTAGAGCCAGGCACCTGGCAGCCTACAGCAATCCTCCTGTCTCCACCCTCCACCATGCCTAGGTCATCAGTGTGCGTATAGCCATCCCACACCTATTTTTTTTAATAGGTGCTGGGATCCAAACTCGCATCTTCAAGACACCTCTCCAGCCCCGGCTTTCACTGCTGAATCTTCCTTCAGAAGCACAACTGACAAAGCTTCAAACATAAAATCTTCCCAATCTAACACTGAGTAGAGGGCAGGAGGCTTGCAAACCCAGTGCTCTGGAAGGAATGGCAGGGATACCTGGAGTTCAGGGCCAGCCTGGGATACCTGAGTCTCTGCCCGCCCCCGCCAAAACCCCTTCTTAACTCAAGAAAGAAATTTCTGTTTATTATCACAGGCTATTTCATCACAAATCCTCCCGTTCTCATTTTTTAAAAAACATCTGTTACCTTACTGAATAAAATTTCACAGCAACCCCACTTTCAAAAGACAGGGCATAAGAATCGCAAAGAGAGCAAGACAGGTCCCAAATAAGGAGGCTCATTTTCCAAGCTGGAATTTCTGTTCATAAACCTATCCCTGCCTGTCACAGTATGGTTTCTACTGCTGTGCTTAGCACCAGGCATCCTGGGAAGGTAAGGGTTTACAGCTTACATAACCTACAGCCCATCATCCAGGGAAGTCAGGGCAGGAACCTGGAGACAGGAGCTGATGCAGAGGCCATGGAGGGTGTTGGCTTACCGAAGCTTGCTCATCCTGCTTTCTTGTAACACACAGGACCACTAGTACATGGTGAGCTAGACCCTCCCGCATCAATCATAAATCAAGAAACTGCCCCACAGGTTTGCCCACAGGCCAATCTTGTAGCGGCATTTTCTTAAGCAAGTGTGCCTCTTCCCAAAGGACGACAGCTTGTGTCAAGTTGACAAAAGAGTAGCCAGCACCCTGCCGAACACCATTTGGGTCATTCTCACACTGACAACACCCTAGAGAAACTCAGATCACAGGACTTGTTTAAAGTGGTGAGGTTAGTGTCATCAGCACTATCGGAACGTGGTGCAGAAACAAGGCGGTCCACAGAGAACTCTGAGCGCTTGTGGAAGCACTCCAAGAAAACAAGACAAGGGCTGTGGGATCTCAGTTTCTTCAAAACAAGGGAACGCTCTTGGAATACGTTTCCGTGCTCCTCCCAGGTGTAGTGGATAACAGCGAGTTTACTTCCGATTGCTCATTACTGCTTGCTGTTATTATTCAATTAAATGTTTGACTATCCTTTCATGTCTCTATGGAAAAACATGTTTTTGCCACGTGTGGCTTGTCCTTGTGATTGTACACAGCTTGAACTCGTGAGAACTTTACTCAGGTGACCTTTCTTAACCCTCAGCGTACAAACTATCTGGGGCTCTGAATAAAGCTGCTACCACGTGAGACTTCAGCCTCATTTATCGGTTCCATTCTCCCAGGCCCCACAGACTCTAGAGCAGTGGTAAGTACCAACTAAAGGAACTGCTGAACAAAACGTGAAACGCAAAAACTAGATAGAGGTCACGGAAGAATACAATCAACACCAAGGCCATCGCTGGCCGATCCTAACCAACATCTTACTCCAAGAGAAAGGCGAGCAACAGGGCTGTTTACTCATACACTGCAACACTGTATTGGTGAACAGGGCCCCAAATGAAGAGGCAATCACATTTTCATCTTCTAGCCTGAGGTTTTGTCTGCTTTTCTTGCATAAAGAGGTATCAGAGAATTCAGCCCCATAAACGAAGCTCCAATAAAGATTCATAAGCTCCATCCTAAATAGTAAAATGCTTGGATTCTCTTTTAAAATGGTGGAAAGAGTTTGTTTCACTAAATTACTTGGATCTTTTTAAAAATGAATTTGACTCTCAGATAAATCTAAGTGCATTCATCTTCCTCCATGGGAAGGATGAAATGGTGTGGAAATAATGTGCATTCCGTTTTTATCTTGAAAACACAAGAAGCTGGCTAGGAATTCCCCCCTCACCACTTCTGAGGTCACTCAGCTGATTTATTAACTCATTCAGCAAATATATTTTGAAAACCTACTCTACTCTGCCCTGAAACTGAAACCTAATTTCCGTCATCTTTACGGACGGATATAAAAAGATCTAACATTCCCTTTGACCACAGGCAGAATTCCAAAACCCTGCCCTCCTATCAGGAAGCAATTTTACTTCCTCATTCAATCATGTTCTAGTCCTTCACAAAAGAACCATGAAGATCAACTCCATGAAGGTCAGAAGGTAAGATCCAATACGGCTCTTCTAGGAGACTCAAAGATCTAAGTCTGGTTTCCAGAATCCATACTGGGTGGCTGACTACTGCCTTTAACACCACCTCCTAGGGGATCCAATGCCACTGGCCTCACAGATGCCTGTACTCACGTGCATGCACACAACCTCACAAACACATGCAGATACACAGCTAAAAATATAATTAATCTTTTTAGGAAATGACTGTCTTGCTGGACACTTTTCTAAAATAAAGAATGCATTTCACACTCAGATAGACACATGTGCAAGAATGCCATTGGGACAAGGGACAAAGCAATCATCTGGTTCTGCAAAGTTATCCTGAAGGTACACGTACTGGAGCTCCTGGGAGGTGGTGAGAGCTAAGAGATGGGACTGAAGGGAGGTCATAGGGTCCTGTCCTTGACAGAAAGTGGAACTCCGGCCCCTTCTTTTTTCCGCTGTCAGACCACAATGTAAACACTCTGTTCTGCTATTCACTCCTACCTCATGTGCCATCTTTGTTACAAGCCCAAAAGCAACAAAAACACCCAGTTCTGGACTGAAGCGCTCAAATCATGAGCCAAATAAACCTTGTCTCTTCATAAGCTGATTAATTACCTCAGGTGGTCGCTACAGTAAAACGCTGGAGCCTCTTCAGCTCTTGAAAATTTTAGAAAAAGCAAATGTCACACTGCTCTGTCCCCTGCTGAAAGAACAAAATCAGCATTGTTCTAGCCATGTCTGGACCTTGGCTAGTGGACACAAATCAGTCGTGTGCTACTCCACTGTTCTCGTTTCCGCTTCCGTGTCTTCCTCGCGGCTGGGATCAAGAACCATAAAAGCCAAAGAAACCTCTCCCAACGTTCCTGACTACTGGAAGCCCACAGGGGGCAGCAGTTAGAGGATATTCCCAAAAGCAGAGGAGTACTCTACTCAATGTTTGGAACACACCTAGTCATCAAAGAAAGGTCAATAGGTCGACTGGTGACGTTATAGTGTTCCCAAGAGTGACTTTGGCACTGCACTGACATCCTAAAAGCAGCCTACCTCGGTTGGCCCAGCATACATCATAGGAGATGGAAAGATGGCCACCACGGTTGTCTCAGGATTCAAGATGCCCTCCTCCAGCACTGCAGCATGCTGCTTCATACGCCACATCAAAGGGACATCGTCATCCTTCGTCCAGCCACCAAGGGGATGGAGGAGCAGGACGGGGCGCCGGTAGCCCCTCTCTAGAAGCTGCTTGTGGGTGTCCTGCATTAACAAGGCATGCCCATTGTGCACTGGGTTGCGCAACTGAAATGCAAAGACAGCATCTGAAAAGAGAATTTCCAGGGTTAGGACAAGCCATTCTTTCCTGACAAGGGGTGCAAGTAACAAACATGCAAGCTCAGAATCAGAAATGGGTAAAGCCACGAACTGCTGACTGCTTATTCCAAGACAGTCAACATCTGGACCATCCGTGCTACTCTATACACTGTAGTGTGGCGCCTGCACTGTGGGACAGTTAGCGAGTCTCGGGCAAGGGCCTGGAGACATGGGTCATCCTTGAAACATGAATGCCCCCTTTACTGTGTTCAGGGACAGCTTATATAGTGCTCTGGCCACGCCCCAGCTCTCAGGATCTTTCAGCTGCAGGCCCACCAGAAATCACTTCCCTGCCATCAGGGTCTCATGCTCAGAGCAGCTGCAGGATGCTCAGAGCAGAGGATAGCAGGTTGTTTACAGGAAATTCACGGTCTGGTGGTCTGCAGTCCCCAACAGACATCTATCGACAGCTACTATTCAGTATTACCAGCCCTCATTCACCTGAGGATGGGTGAGACGGGAGCCACAGACAAAAAGCAGTTACTTCTGTGTGCAGGGGGAATGAGAGCAACTGTCAGGCTCTCTTTCCAGTCCTCATAGTCAGCTGTTTACAACAAATACAAGTTAGTGGTCAGTGTGCCAATGGCATTCCTCACTCAAATCCTTCAAAGACCCTAAGACTTGAGTTGGTAACGAAACCCAGGTCATTCCCAGGGCTTTAACAAGAGACAGCAAGGATGTGAAAAGAGCTATCGCCATAGTTTTCATTTGCTACCCAAATTCATGAAGATTACTCTGAGAACAAAGCCACTGTGTTGTCATCTGAGGTCTGGGCTTAGGACTGCAATGCAGCAACAGTATCTCTGATGAGGAAATGGGCTAGTATTCAGATGGTGACAACTACAAGCTTCATTGAACTGTGTAGCCATCGTGTGCTACAATCCTGGATTCATTCTTCCATGCTTGTACCAGGAGACCTGTCAGAAGCCACAGTTCCAAGACAAGGTTGTCCACTCTCTTCATATCTATTCAATATAGTTCTTGAGGTCCTCGCTAGAGCAATAAGACACAAAAAGGAGATCAAGGGGATACAAATCGGAAAAGAAGAAGTCAAACTCTCACTATTTGCTGATGATATGATAGTTTACATAAGTGACCCCAAAAATTCTACCAAGGAACTTCTACAACTCATAAACACTTTCAGTAATATAGAAGGATACAAGGTTAACTCAAAAAAGTAAGTAGCCCTCTTTACACAGATGATAAGTAGGTTGAGAAATAAACCACAAAAACAAAAGCCTTCACTATAGCCACAAATAGCATAACATATCTCTGAGTAACTCTAACCAAACAAGTGGAAGACTTCTATGACAAGAGCTTTAAATCTTTGAAGAAAGAAATTAAAGAAGACACAAGAAAGTGGAAAGATCTTCCATGCTCTTGGGTAGGTAGAAGTAACATAGTAAAAATGGCAATCTTACCAAAAGCAATCTACACATTCAATGTAATGCCCCAGCAAAATTCCAGTAAAATTCTTCATAGACCTCAAAAGAACGGTACTCAACTTCACATGGAAAAGCAAAAAACAAACAAACAAACAAAATAAAACAAAACAAAACAAAATAGGATACCCAAAACAATCTTGTAGAATAAAAGAACTTCTGGAGGCATCATAATCCCTGACTTCAAACTCTACTAGAGAACTGAATCGAAGACCTGAATATTAATCCACACACCTTCAAACACCTGATTTTTGACAAGGAAGCAAAAAATATCAAATGTTAAAAAGAAAACATGCCAGGCGGTGGTGGCGCACGCCTTTAATCCCAGCACTCGGGAGGCAGAGGCAGGTGGATCTCTGTGAGTTCGAGGCCAGCCTGGTCTACAAGAGCTAGTTCCAGGACAGGCACCAAAAACTACAGAGAAACCCTGTCTCAAAAAAAAAAGAAAAAAGAAAACATATTTAACAAATGGTGCTGGCGTAACTTAATATCACCATGTAGAAGAATGAAAATAGATCCATATCTATCACCATGCACAAAACTCAAGTCCAAATGGATCAAAGACTTAAACATAAAGCCAGCCACACTGAACCTCATAGAAGAGAAAGTGAGAAGTACACTTGAATGCATTGACACAGGGAACCACTTCCTAAATTGAACCCCAGTAGCACAGACACTGAGAGAGAAAATTAATAAATGGGACCTCCTGAAACTGAGAAGCTTGCTGTAAAGCAAAGGACACTGTCAACAAGACAAAATGACAGCCTACAGAATGGGAAAAGATCTTCACTAACCCCACATTGGAGAGAGGACAGATCTCCAAAATATACAAAGAACTCAAGAAATTGGTCATCAAAAGAACAAATAATCCAATAAAAAAAAATGAAGTACAGACCTAAACAGAGAACTCTCAACAGAGGAATCTAAAAGTGGCTGAAGGACATTTAAGGAAATGTTCAACTGTAGGGCCCAGTCTACCCTTGCTCCTTGGAGTGCATATTGAGGACAGTTTCTGGTCAGCTAGCTAACATCCTGCTTGCTCCTGTGCTCCCTCTGCTATAGCCTGGTGATTAGCTGTAGGGCATTGTTTCATCTTTGGTATGGTAATTTCCCACCTGCCCAGGAGGAAATCCTATGCAGCAGTCAGATCCCCCCTGCCTGGGAGGTAATCCTTTTGCAGCAGCCAAAGTATATTAGTTTTGCAAAAAGCTAAATAAAGTGGCATTTGGCTGATCTCCTTTCGAATGACCATGGTCTCTTGTGTGTTTCTTTCTATCTCCAGGCCTTTGCCCAAACTCGCATAAGGTACAGTTGCGTGCGAACTGTATCAAGAGGGTAACACAAAATCGGGTGTTACAACTGGAGGCCCTACTGGGATCAGCAGCTACAGTCGGAGACCCATCTGTGAGATTTGGAAAGTAGGGATCCCTGGATATCCGTGTAGAGATTTCTCAGAAAACTATGAAACAACCTTCCTCAAGATCCAGTAATACCACTTTTGGGTATATAGCCATAGGATGCTGAATTGTGCCATAAGGACATGTGCTCAACGATGTTCATAGCAGCATTGTTTGTCAGAGCCAGAACCTGGAAACAATCTAAATGCCCCTCCACCAAAGAATGGATAAGAAAAATGTGATACATTCACACAATGGAGTACTACACAGCAGAAAAAAATAACAACATCTTGAATTTTGCAGGGAAATGGACGGACCTAGAAAACATTATTTTGAGTGAGGTAACCCAGACACAGAAGGAGAATTACACATGTACTCACTCATAAGTGGTTTCTAAACATAAAGCAAAGAAAACCAGCCTACAATCACAATCCCAGAGAACTCAGACAACAAGGAGAACACTAAGAGAGACAAACATGGATCTAATCTACATGGGAAATAAGAAAAGACAGGATCTCCTGAGTAAATTGGGAGCATGGGGACCATGGGAGAGGGTTGAAGGGGAGGGGAGAGGAAGGGAGGGGAGCAGAGAAAAATGTATAGTTCAATAAAATAAAAGAAAGGGAGAAAGAAAGAAAGAAAGAAAGAAAGAAAGAAAGAAAGAAAGAAGTGAAAGGAAGAAAGAAACCATGGTTCCTTGGGTTATAGAGTAATTTCATCGAACAGAAGAACTGCCCTGGCACAGGAGCTGTTTTTACAGTTCTCTGAACACCTGCCACACCATCTACCACCTGCCCCATCACTACCACCTGCCACATCACCTGCCACCTGCCCCATCGCCCCGCCACCTGACACATCACCTGCCATGATGACTTGACTCATAAACTCCAATTTGTTTACTTTTACTAAAAATAATAAATGATTCACCTTTATAATTTTTAAGTATGTGCATCATGTATGTCTGTGTAGGGGATATGCACATGAATACAGATGCCCTCAGAGGCCAGAGGTGCTGGATCTCCTTAGAGCTGAAGTTAAGGCAATTGTGAACTGTTCTCTGAACACCTGACCTGGGTGCTGGGCACCAAACACAAGTCATTTTGGAGAGCAGTATAACTCACTTCTGCAAAGTTTACTATGAGACTCCTGATCGTATATGAAAGCAAATTTGACCGCTAAGAAGCCTTGAAGGCATTCACGGCTTTGTAAGCCACAGGGCTCTGCTGTAACCACTTGACCCAAATGCCACAGTGCAAAAGTATCTGGGGACAGCACTTGGACCCTTAGCCTGGCTATCTCTGGCGATCAACCAGTACACGTGACTGCCAGTTTTAGTGTGCCAGCTAGTTCGCAGAATAAGACAGGACAGGAAGAAGTAAAGTAAAATTCCAACTAGGAGGAAACATGTGGAGGCATTTCTGCTCTCCAGAGGGATGTGAACATAAAATCATCTATTCTGTCAAAGATGGAGGGCACATAGCTGGATGTAAACCCTGGCACAGGATAATCACATTATATTCTGAATGCTTCTTGGAAAGGATGCTGGTACCAAACAAGGGCTAGGGATGAAACGTGGTACAGACACTAGAGATAAAACTGCTGGGCGCATTTCCACATAAAACAGAACTCTGCCAACGGTTCCATTTTATCTCCTTCCTTAATCAATGTATCCCCAGGGCCGGTTCATCTGATAGACCATACATACCCTGCAGACCGTTATGAGGTCACAAGCGCCAAGGGTACTAGGCTGGGCTCTGTAGCACTGACTTGCAAGTTGGTTATTTCAGCAAAACTTGGCCCCAAGCTCAGATCACCTCTCCACCTGCCTCTTAGTGCCCCAATATCACCCAAGATTCAACTCCTGCTACCTCGTGCCCATCCCCCGTCCTGCCCCCTAGCTTTGGAGAATGATACCTAATTCCGCATCCAGAACACTCCAGCTCACCTTCTCCCACGCATGTGCTCAGACACCCAGCATCTGTCCACGGGCATCTGCACTGACTGTTCTCCCACTGCAGTCTGACCTTGCAGCGGACAGGGACAGGGAGGGTGCGAACAGATGAAAGCACCAGTTCAGACAAGCGCTGAACAGTGGGGTAACTGTGGGGCTCCCGTGCCTCGGGAGTCTGTAGTTTATTCGGAGAAGGAATGAGCAAGCGTGTGGTTAAAGAAACCCAGGTCTTTCGAGTCCTGCAGGGAAGGATTAGAACTGCTTGGAAAGACTGGCGCTGACTGTGTGGAGCGGCCATGATGAAGGAGCAGAACATGGCCTCTTCTCTTCACTTCCACGTGAAACTGCTGGGCTGAGGTCACCCAGCCAACTGGTTTCTTTCTGCTCTGCCACCCAGTGAGCATGAGCATCTTGCCATATCCTAACGGTGCCCTGCTTTCTGTCTCTGTGTGAGCATCTACCACGGCCTTCGCAGCCCAAACGTCACACAGGGCCCTGGGCTTCTAAACTCACCAGCCTCTTACCTAAGCCCTCTTTAAAATAAAAAGCAGGAGCCACGGCAGAGAACTTAAGGCGAGACTGTCTGTACATAGACTATTTTGGCATCGCTGTCTTTGGGGTTCATGCTTGGTTTGGCCTAGTCTCCTAATTTTCGTGCACATATTATACACAACCATAATCAAACATGAAATGTCAGGCTCCGCTGGGCCTAACCCCCTGCTTCTCACTGCACCTGGAGCAGCAAGGCTCACTGCTGGGCTGTGTGCCACCCTACTGCTATGCTCACTCAGGAACTGCCCAAACCCCACCATCAGCGATACTCCATTACTATGTGGTATCTCAGCCATATCTCTATGGCCCGATTCCCAGCTCATCACTATAGACATCGCTAAACCATCTCAGTACTCACTTCACATTCTGTCTTCCTACTGTGGGCATCACTGTCTCAACCCCAGCCCCACTCACTCTATTCCTCCCCTCCTTCCCAACCTCCTACGTAAAGCTGTCTGGGTAAAAGGACGGCCCAGTGTGGCAAGCTCTCCTTCCCTGCACTCCGGACGCCCCCACCAGGCCAAAAGGCAACATGGTAAGAAGCAAGGTAAACTGGAGCCCTTTCCTTTCACAAGTGAAGGGGAAGAGGAGTAGAGAAGGCCGTTTCGGAACTGTGTTTCACTGCTAAGAAATTAAAGGACAGTGTCAGCATTTCCTGACGGTGAAAACAGCAACAGCTCCCTGGATGTGTATAGCACAGGTTACATGATAACCCATCAATTGGCATGGGCAGCGGGAACTGGCATCAAGCTCCTGGGTCAAAGACAGAAGGCTACAGCTGGCAACCAGAGGAATAGGAGGAAACTTCTGGAGGAGCCTTGCCAACCTGTAAAGCCTCCACACTATGCCCTCAGCAGCCCTCACAGGGCCTCCGCACAAGGCGATCTCACTGCCAAACCCAAAGCACCATGCCCACAGCACCTCCTGACAGAACTATGACCTATGCGCCTCCACACAGAGCACCCACACAGCATCTCACTGTATCGCCCTACAGCACCATCTCACAGCACTGTCTCCTATGCAAATCCCTGCTGGGCACAGGGCTCATACCTGGAATCTCAGTACGCAGGAGGCTGAGGCAGAAGAATACCATCCCAAAGCCAGCCTAGCTATAGAGTGAGAGCATCTCAGGAAATGGAAGAGAGGGAGAGAGGAAGGGAGGGAGAGAGAGAGGAAGGGAGGGGAAGGCATTGCTTCCTGCCCCTACCTAATGTTGCCAGTTCAATGCCCAGCACTACTTGTGGGCTCCCATAACTGCACCCATCTCTCCTTCCATCCAAGCTTATTTCATTAACTTTAGACTCTATCCGAGGGTGCTGCTGCTTGCAGCCTGCTGCGGGAGTATCTTTCGCTGCCTCAGCCAATAGTCGCTGAAGCACGAGCCCACTGGGGCATGGTATATTTCTCTTTTAAAAAGAGACACAGATCCCGGATCAGGCTCTCTTGGTTCCGGCGCTTGGTCCCGGCTCCTGCTCCCGGCTCCTGCTCCAGCGACTAGGCTCCCTTTTTGACGGTTTATGGTGTATGTAAGTTTTACCCCCCAAAATAAATAACCCCTTAAAACATAACTGGTGTGGGATTGATTCGCCGATAGCAGCCAGAATCTGCCAGACAGGGATTCTCCTCATCTGGTTTCTGGCTGCAACATCTCTAGCTCACTGCCTTTAGCATAAGGAAACACACTAACTTCACTCCCTCACCAACCTGCTCTATTGCCCCCGACTTTGCCTGAGATGTCCTTCTAACATCTCTACACATTCCTTTAAATAGCCTGTACTTCAACAGCTCAACAAAAGCCCTCGTGGACAGACCAGAACTGTGCAGCACCACGCCAGCCTGAAGAAAATATTCACTTTGCAACCAGCAGGACACCAACGTTCTGTGTAGAACAACTAGGCTGCTCAGTGAAATCCCTCCTTCTCTCTAGCCTATCAGTCAATTATCTGGATTCCAAGAACCTACTGTCAGTAAACAGCTCCCCTCCTGATTAGCAATTCAGGCAACAGGGAAATCTCAGTCCTCTCAGCTACAGAAGAAACTCCAACACCAAACTGTCCCATCCATGTTCACAGGACAACACTCTATACCAGGTCACAGACACACTTAAGATGAGGTGGGAAGGAGCAAACAGAGGCACGACCACACTGGAGATAAAAATGGGGACTATTCCTGTTTTCTCTCTCTTGAACACATGGGTAGGCCGTTGTCACTGGCTTCCTAATGAGTGAACAAGAGCTGCCGAGTAAACTCCTCGGTCTGTTGCTTATTTGCCTTGGTCTAAAATGGAAAAGGAAACAAAATAACACCACAAATCTTCCTCGTTTGATGTAAGGCTAATAACTGGCTCTCAGCTACTTTAAACAAAGTCGCAATCATTCATTATGCAACAAGTTCCCTAAATGACTTAAAATGTTTGGCTCACAAAGAGCACAAAACAGATGGAGTAGTAAAGTCTCTAATTATGAACAATAATCCCATGATAAGATGTCTCAACAGAGCCAAATAATTGACTAACATCGATTCAAGATATGAATTCAGATTTTGGCAAAAACAAATTAAGGAGGTCTCAAAAAGTCCTAAATGTGTTTCTGCTCACCACCAGAATCGGAAGGGGAGAAGGGAGAAAGGGACGGATGGAGGAAGGGAAGAAATGAAATGCCCTACCTATAAATAAATAAAAGACCCGACTAGAAATGTCTTAAATAATTTAAATATGTAGTATCTCTTTAATATGAAGTCTGGAGATAAATGACAAAGTCACCAAAGCACCTTCTGGGAAGCATGGGCAGAAATGTCTGGTGCACATGGAAGCACATCATTTACCAACACCCATGCAGTGCACATGGTGAGAAGATGCTGTCCTGGAGCGCTCGGAGCACAAGGCTGCAGAGAACAGCACCTCGGTCTTCCTGAACACACTGCTCCTCTTCACCCCAACCCAGAATGATGAGAACATTGTAAGTGCTCCTTCACCCCAACCCAGAATGATGAGAGCATTGT